ATTCATGCATAAAGAGTGTAAAACATTTTTAGATCACTCACCTTATGCAAATCAACTTCTTGTAATGCAAAATAAGCAATCCGGTCAATCTCACTCTTTTAAATCGCCCAATTTTTTCTTAAGATGGCAAGAAGAGAAATGTGAAGGCTTCAACCTCCTTTTATACTTTCCAAATAAGGAAGGTAGCTAAACCACCCCTCACATGCATGCATACATATACACATATATATTTATGCATTTATTTTTGCCTATTCACATATATGTATGCATACATACATATAAATCTTGCATACATATATTTATATATGCATTTCACATCGTGCATAAAATTTCACATATTTGCATGATCAAATATAACAATTTATCATGCTGTCACGTAAGCACATCATAAATAATCACGTATTAGTTACCTTCAGGTGATAACCAAGATCCAGTTATCACACTTTCCTGCAAGAATACAATAAAGTAAGAGCATGCAGTCTAATGAGGTGCTTGAGTCGTGTGTGGTTTGGTTGAAAGAGTATCTCAGAAAGTGATTCCAAACAGCCGCATTCTTTTTCAAAAGATTGGTTTGGAATTTAAGTGGACTGCGCTTTTGGGGTGACTTCTAAGTGGCTCCTTCTTCGGCCATGACACTAAGTACCATCTTCAAATCTTCGTCAGTGTGATCATGTAACAACTTGCGATACTCACAAACTGGAGGTACAATCAAATCATAGAAATTATTGATAGCATGCACAGAGTAAGAGATCTTTTTACCTCGAATATGAACCGAGGTAGTGCGGATAGAGGAAACTAAGGCATATAACTCTTGGACCCATTTAAGGAAGTAAGGCTCTCTCACAGCAGTGAAAGCCTCCCAACCCCTTTGAATAACAATGTCACTGATGAATGTGTAGGTCTCAGGAAAACTCTTATCAAACTCTCTCTCTCCTAATCCCAAAAAGTCTTGAATTTTTGAAAATTCCTAGGCTTCCGGCTACTCTCACTATGGCTGTCCAATCGTCTAGTGCAGGTACTCTTTTTGGGCGGGCTTGGTGCTACATGCTGCCTCATGGATCTCCTAAGTTAGGACAATGGGATATCCTCATCAGGAGTCCATTCAGAGTCTTCAGACTCAACCCTTCTCCTTTTGGAGAATCTCTCAATAGGGACTAAGTAAGAGTCACTAGAAGTGCGATTGCTATCCTCATTGGACTTTTGCCCAGTCATTTCAGGAGAAGGAATGGGAGTGGGCTGAAAGTCTGGGATGGCACATGAGTAGTGCTCACAAGTGGTGTGGTGTATGAGCTAGTGATGGGTGGCATGGGCATAATGACATTGTGTGCATCAAAGATCATGTAGGAAGTAGGGATATAAATGGGGAAAGGGGGTAGTGCAGAAAATGGGTTGTTAAACCTATCAAATGCAATGGAGATGGGTGGGGGAGTGTAGTGCTGGGAAGTCAAGTCAACCATCCCCAAATCAACCATGGGAGAATCATTGAACTGGTGGTGTGATGTGTGTGTATCCATAAGAGTGATAACATCTGAAGAAGTGGTGGAATCTGGCCACTCAAGTAAGGGAGTTGGGTCATCTTCTTCCATAAAATAGGAATTAAGATCAATGTTAAACATAGAATCCTCACAAAGCATTTTCTGACTCTCATGATGCTCAACAGGATCACTTTTGATGGTGTGATCACTTTGGGCACCAATGGTGTATGTGTGCTCAGGGAAAGGAGAGTCAGAAAGACTCACAATGGGATTGTTGTGGCATGTGTCGAACTCATTGCTCTCTGTCTTCCCGATACCTTGAGAGGTTGGATCCACTGTAGGTGGTACTCCGGAATGTTGGGCATCATCCTTGATTTCATCCTTGATCTTCATCTTTTTGGCCCTTGCTCTCCTTGGTTTTGGTTTAGGTAGACCTTTGGGAACATAGGTCTCTACATCAATGGTATCTCCTTCTTCTTTAGTCATAGTCTTAGTGACATGACGCTCAGTTGATCTAGTGACTGGACGACAAGCTTTTGGTTTTGATCTAATGGGAATAGAAGGGGGTGGTGCTGTAGTTTGAGAAGGGGCTGTTTAGGTAGGCATTACAGTAGAGGTGGGGGTTGTTTGGTTTAAGACAGTAGGTAGAGAGGCTGGTTGAGTTGAAACAGTAGGTGTAGGGACTGTTTGGGTAGGAAGAGCAATGGTTGTGGTGGCTGGTTGTTTCAAAACAGTGGGTAGAGGGGTTGTTTGGGTTAAGGGTAGGGCTTGTTGGATAGGTCTAATGGTTCTAAGAGGTGTGGGGCAGGGTAGGATTGATCTTAGTAACCATGGAGGTAGGTTAGCTAAGTTGGGTGGGGTGGAGGTGGTGGTTTGTGAAGTGGGAAGGTTGGAGGATCGGGAGGGGTGTGAGAACCCCGGTGGTGGTTGGTCATCCATGCCAAACCTTCTTGCCTTTCTGCACAAAGAATAAACCAAATTAGGACTGTTGCCTACACAAAGATTACATACAGAATTTGAAACCAGTTCATGGTTGCTGTTTAGAAAAGTGTTTGGACCATCACTATGAGAAGAAACACACCTAGGATCTCAAGGTGTCAACTATGCCATGAACCAAAACAAGACAAACACAAACAAGGACCTAATATCAATTGCTTGCAGGCTGTTATGTTTAAAATAGGATTAAGACAAACACACAGGGATCAAACTTTGCTTTGTTGTTGGTTTCTCAAGATCCGGTACTAAATTCATGGTACCCAAAATCAAGACAGTCATACATAAGGTCCAAAATTAATTTTGCTGTCTGTTGGCTATCTAAAAATCAGATTCTAAACATATGGGACCAAAATCAAAATAAATATAGACAGGGACCAAATGGCAGGCCGTTGCTTGATCATGACCCATATGGAACTAAAATAGCAACCAAAATGGCTGTTTGTGCAGTCAGCTGTTTGATCAAGGGATAAAATGACAACCAAAATGGCTGTTGATTGAAAACATTCATTAAACACATGAAACCCAGAGTACTTTCTGCAGATATGGAATCAAATGCCAATAACTTTAAGGTACCATGTAAGATCAAGACAAGCACAAAAGGGCCAAAATCCCTTCTGTTGGCTGTTTGCTCAAAATCAAGGCAAACACAAAATTTAATTTGCTTTGCTTTTTGCTAGCTATTGAGTTCACAAAATGATTAAAAACAAACAGGAACATTAATCATTTTGTAAATGCCTGGCCACAAACCCAATTTCTTCATGCTGTAAATTCAAGGAAGCAAGATAACAAACAAACTGGCTGTTGATTTACACTAGCTACAGATGTCCTTAATGACAGATGTTTACAGGATAGCAGGTAGCATCATAGGGATCAAAATCTGTTTAACAATATTTCACGACAGGATTAAACAGTTAGCTTGTAACTATTTCAAATCCTTGGCTTGTAACTATTTCAAATCCTTGGAGATGACAGCATGATAATCCATATGTGAATCATAATCATGTTTATGTACTGTGTGAAAATAGATGGGGTCAGAATTAGAATTAAATGTAACCAATGATCATGTCTGTGTTATCTTTGCTTGTTGTTTGTCTTAACTCTGGATTATGAGAAACATACATAGAACATGTTGTCATTCATGGAAATAAACCTAATTTATGTATGCTTTTTGAACAAACCAAGAGTAAGTTATAGCCAGATAGATTAAGGACACCAAGACTTAAGAGCTTATGAGAACAAGATTAAGAAAATCACACAAGGACCAAAACAGGTCTGTGTTCTGTTTTGGAAATTCATGGAGGCACAGAGACTACATAGACCAAGTCCTGCTGTTGTTGAGAAATCACATAGACCACAACACTTAACAATTCCAGATACTTATACATGGTTAAAAAACACAGAGATTACGAGGGCCAATTGTTGGAAATAATTCACAGGGGTCGAAACCTGTTGAAATCAACCCACAAGGATAGCAACCTGTTTTTTCAAAAAAAACCTTATCTATTGAGCACTCAATCTCGAATTTGCACATTGGCTTAATGTGCTTGAGTTAGCTAGGGTTCATGTTCGCCAAGCGAAAATCACACCAGAACCCAAATTGCACTGTTCGATTAAGCCCACAGAATTTGGGCAAACCAGCCATTATGCTTGAGTAGACGAGATTAGGGTTTAGAGAAATCATACCTTATGTTTGATAACAAGAGAAATTTATGGTTTCCTCCTGCTGTTGTTGCGAATCGACAACAATGCCTGCTGCCTTCTCCCCTTAGTTCGATTAGGTTAAAAACGAAGCAAGTTTTCCACTTGAGCGCCGAGTGTGGTGATGGTGTGTGATGAAGAGGAACAATGGCGGTGACAGAATGGTTGAAAGCAAGGGAGATGTGCAGTGACTGTGATGGTATTGGTGATGGCCTCTCGGGAAAAGAGAATACAAAAAGAAATAAAAGAAAAGAACTTATATATTTTTTTCTTGCTTTTCTATATATTTTTTTCTTTTTCTTTTTCTTGAATGAAATAAAAAGGAAACACGATATGTTTATATTTATACATATATATTTATTTACACATGTATTTATATAAATATTAGTACGATATATATTTACATCTTATTTTATTTAGAAAAACTTATGCCGGGTATTTTTGGTTTTTGGGCTCATCCAGAAATTTTTTTATTCTCTGGCCATTTACTTAGAACAGACTGTTATCCGCATGGTTTAATAGATTAACTGCTCCGTATGGGTAAACTTTGTGGATTAAAAACGGTCCTGACCACCTAGTTTTTAACTTACCTGGAAACAGTTTCAATCTAGAATTGAACAATAGAGCTTGTTGTCCTGCTTTTAATTCTCGATGTTGAATTCTTCTATCATGCCACTACTTAAGCCTTTTCTTTGTACCACTTGGCATTTTCATAGGACATGTTCCTATGCTCTTCCATTTCACATAACTGCAACTTTCTTTTATTTCCTGCATTATCTAAGAACATATTTAATTCCTTGATTGCCCAATAAGCCTTATGATCAAGTTCCACCGGAAGATGACATGTTTTTCCAAAAACGAGCTTGTATGGAGATATACCAATTAGAGTTTAATGCCGTTCTATATGTGATAAGTGTTAATTTATTCCTCTTACATCATTTTTTTTTAACTATTTTCCTTTGTTTAATTTGCCCATTAGTATCTTAGTTGAGTCTTTTTATGTCATTTTCATATATTAGTAGTAATATAACATATCTAATGTTAATCCCCTGTTTATGCAGGTTTTTGATGATTTTTTGGGCAAATCCTGCAGCAGTCCTATAGGACCAGGTGTGGCAAAATCTTGTAGTACCTGTCCGTGAGCTGCATTTTTGTCTGGGCCGAGAATTCTTGGGCTGCTCCTTAATGGATGGGTGGTTAACGACCTTGGGCCCGGTCAAAGCCCATTTTTGAAAAACCTTTTGTCTTATTAGGTGGCTCCCATTAAGCAAACTCCCTTAGCCTATAAATAGAGGCTTAAGGCTTGGTTTTACTTACACTTTCTTATGCTTTCTACCATTTAACACTTATGATCTTTGTGTTATTTACTCTTCTAAATTATTATTTTCGGTTTCATGCTTTCGGTTTTTTCCTCCCAATCAAGAACCGATTTTTGCGAAGTGGATTTGTGATTGCTCTCAAGTTTAATTCAAGTGCTCGTATTTAATCTTCATCTCATTTCTGTTCTTATTTCCAAGTTACGTTACGTTTTCTGACTCTTGTTACAAGTTACGAATTAGTCGATTTATGTTGCTTTACACTGGATTTCATCCTTTGTGGCTTACGACTAATTTACGTAGACTAAATAATCTGGTTTTAAGAGTTTGCAAGTAACATTTTCGGTCTTTGTAACGAAACTTGTGTTGCAAGTTTTGTTACTTGGCTTCCCAGTTTTCTTCCTTAAAGTCAAACTCTATTTTCAAGGCATTTATTAGTCATTTCTCCATCTCATCAATCACTTGTCATACATCATGTCTTAGTTTAATATTAATTAATAATATTTAGCTATTAATAATTTAATTTCAGTCCTTTATATTTCAATCTTTATATTTCAATCTTTTAGATTTCAGTCTTTTACATTTTAGTCCTTTACATTTCAGTCTTTTATATTTCAGTCTTTTACATTTCTGCATTTTACTTTACTGCAATTTACTTTCCAGTCATTTAATTTCCAGCAATTTACTTTCAGTCATTTATATTTCAGTCATTTAATTTTYCARTACTTTAAATTCCAGTATTTCCATTTCTTGTGATTTACTTTCTACAATTTACTTTTCCGTATCAGTTATTTATTTTTCAGTCCTTACATCCTTCGAGAGAAGAAACCGAGCAATGATGAGCTAACGCCTTAGCTTCGGGTGTAACGGGAAATTAAGACCAAAGCCGATGTGAAGGTACAAAGGTGTCTTATTAGCATTATAGTCTACTATTTRTTTCAGGTGCTTAATATTTCATTTGATGATTACATTAAAATTAATTGACAACTAATTTTGTATATAAAAATGTCTTGACTTTCAAAACCTGAGGTAATATGAGAAGGCTATAAATAGCTTTAGTGTCTGACAAACGCTATACTCTTACGGTGTAGGATGGTAACACTGTGTTGTGCTAGGATTCACGACGTCTAACATAAATGATATCGTATCGATAACACGTTGACCGGTGTGTGCTCTTGGGAGGCCGTCTGACCCGATAGTTGATACTGTCATAATTATATAAAATCATTTACTAATTTTAGATAATTGTTACATGAATGTTATGTCACCTTTTTGTTGAATCATTTGTTTAATGTCTTAATCAACTGTTGCACCATGTGCTTCTTTTTAAGATTGATATTTTTCTTAGTTGTTAATCAAATCACCTAATTTTAGATAAATCAAATCACTCGTTTCGCCATCTGAAACTAGTTTTTATAAACTGGACTTTTGAAGAACTTTACAAGCTATCTCTGTGGGAACAATATGGTACTTATACCATTATTACTTATTACGAGACGACAGTAGTTCAAAGTGTATACTTGCGCCGAGTTCTATTTTTGTGTTGAAATCTAAGATTGAATAAACCGACGAGCAAGTTTTTGGCGCCGTTACCGGGGATAGCACGCTGAAGTTTTTCTTTTTAAAGTAAAGTTTATAAAAATTAGTTTTTCTACCATCTTTTTGTGAACGCACCGTGTATGCCAAGGCTGTCGCACGGTGAATTTTTTCCACTTGATCCGGATATTGAACAAACTTTCAGACAACGAAGAAGAGGGCAAAGAGCTCTTCGAGCTTTAAACTCCGAACCGATGGCTGAAAATGTGATTATTGACGGAGAAGGTATAATTAGAAATGAACCAAATATTCCACATGAGGATGAGGCTCAACATCTTTCGTCTTGCAAATGCTAAAAATGGTGGCATTATGGCATATGTTATTCCTAATTTAACTTAATTGCACACAGAGATACGTAAGCCTACCATTGGTGCCACCCATTTTTCACTTAAACCACTGATGTTTCAAATGCTTCAAACAAACGGCCAGTATGCTGGTTTATCTTCTGAAGATCCTCATTCTCATCTGCGTTCTTTCATGGAAATCACAGACTTTTTTCTCATCCCTGATGTTTCAGACGATGCTCTGAGACTAAATTTTTTTCCATTTTCACTAAGGGATCGAGCAAGAGCATGGTACAATTCTTTGCAACCAGACTCTGTGACTACATGGAATGAAATGGCAGAAAAGTTTTTGAAAAATTATTTTCCACCCACGAGGAATGCCAAATCCAGGAATGAAATATGTACTTTTAGACAACTGGATGATGAAGCAGCTGCTGAGAAAATGCCCTCACCATGGCATTCCGTACTGTATACAGCTAGAGACATTTTACAACGGTTTAAATGTCGTTGCTAGACAAATGCTTGATGCTACTGCAGGCGGAGCTTTCACAGCTTGTACCTATAATGAAGGTTTTGACATACTTGAAAAGATTTCTAATAATAACGGACAATGGTCTGACCCACGTGCAATGCCACTGAAGAAAACAACTGGAATGAATGAGGTAGATGTTGTCTCGGCATTAACAGCTCAGATCACTAAGCTAATTTCAAATTTAACATCTAGCCCGCATATGCAATCTGATGCTAATACCTTTAATCCTAATGTTCAATCTGTGCAATGCGTGTACAGTGGTGAAGGTCACTCTTTTGAGCATTGTCCTAGAAATCCTGAACATGTAAATTATGTCAACAAGACTGGACCATTTTCACAGACTTATAATCCGGGATGGCGAAATCATCCAAATTTTTCGTGGCATAGTCCAGCTCTTAACCCATCAATGCAAAAGCCACAAGGACAGTCCAATTTTCAACTGCAAGAACAGTCCAATTTTCAACAAGAAGGCCAATCTAATTTTCACTCACAAGCGCATCAAGGCAATCATAATAATCAACATGCTAATTTTCAAAATCATCAGTCTTCTTTTCAAAGCAAGCCCAAACAGCAAGCTGAGTCATCTACTTCCTTGGAAGCAATGATGAAGGGTTTTATAACCCAAAATCAAGCTTCAATTAAAAATCTCAAAACTCAAATGGGACAAATGGCTTTGGAGATTAGAAAAAGACCAGTAGGTTCTCTACCTAGTGATACAAAGATACCTCAGAGGGAAGGAAAAGAGCACGTTAAGGTTGTAACTTTAAGGAGTGGAAAAAGTTATTTAGAAAACACCCAAAAAGAACAAAAAGAACCAACCAAAGCAGAGATTGAAAAAAAGTGTAGAACAAGATTCTGTTACCTCTGTACCAGAATTTTTGACTACCATTCCTGCAAACCATTCAGAGAGTACTAGTGAGCCTCAACCCATAGTCAGGCCCA